ATAATAGGGTACAGCTCTTGCCTATTGCCTCTGCTTGTCCCTGTAACAGGTGTATTTATCCTGCAGAATTAGGGGGAAATGGAGACTCCATCACACCACAAACAATCCACCCCATAACCTGGTTACCAGAAATGCCTAGAAAAGATCCTGTAGTTTTGCCACATGTTGCAGCTGCTTCCTAAGCTCTATCTATCTATCTATCTATCTATCTATCTATCTATCTATCTATCCATTTATCTACCTATTTTTCAGACAATGCAAAGCAATAATGAGATCTTGAAAGGTCAATGTGCAACCTTCTCCCAGTGGATGCTTGCGAGATGAACAGTGCTTGACAAACCCACGTTAACTGCCAAACCTACCAAGCAGTGTTTCATAGTCATCCTCAACATTTCCATAAAACAGCTATGGCAGCTGTGGTTTCTTCTCAATGAAAAGCATTAATCCACATGGGATTGAGAAAACAGAAGCCTGTTTCTCCACCACAAGCAAGCATCCTAATGTGTTCAATTTGAACTGTTAGAAGAAAGGAATATTATAAATCGAGAAGTAGCAAGTAATTTGTAAGCAAGGGTATTTAAACCTACTTGAAATCCAGTTGAGATATCCCAATACAGAGTTCATGTATTGCACAGGCAAAAGTCTCACTGGATCAACAAATCATCTAATTTTAACCTGCTGACAAGTCAAGGGGATCAGCAGTAACCCTAGGACTGCACCAACTGACTTATTGTGCAATTAGGGTGAATCATGTAATTGCTTTCTTCCTCAGGTTTTCCTTGTGTGCACAGCAGAGGGAAATATAACACCTATCTCTCAGATACAAAGTGGGGACAAACTTTGGTGAGCACTCTGGTGATCCTCAAGTCAAAGAAGTGCTGAGTATGAATCAGCAAGCCTTTAGGGTCTCCATGAAGAGCTTAAAAGGGCTGTAAAGGAGAAAGGTCTCCATGAAGATTGTGTTGAAAACAAGGAAAACATAGGTTGGAGCACTGCTTCTGAAGGCTTAGCAAAGGGTTAAGGTGCAGAACCTTGTAACTTCACTTAAAATAGATGAGAGTTAGCCACTGCTGAGAGGTGATCCCAGAATCCCATTTATTAGGCCAATGCTTTAATCAGCCTCTGCTAGAAGGAAGACCTCAGCTGAGCGTTTCTGCACTGTGGGGAAAGATCTCTTCTGTGACAGGTGATCCGTGTCTCCATCTCCCAAAGCTGAAGGGTTCAGCTCTGGCTGGCAGTGACTTCTGAGGACTGAAATTACTACTCCAAGTTCAGCACTCCCATGCCCACACCTCCTCTTTCTCCAGAGCCATACTGCCCTGCTTTGCAGTTTGTGATATTTGCAAGCCATACCAAAATCCCAGCCTGGGCTGGATGCTCTAAAATCCTTAATGAGACAGGAAAGGCACAAGTCATACAAACGGGCAGGAAAACAGTGAGGATCTGGGTTATACACAAGAGAAATTAATTGAAGACCATTTTTCTCAATGTCAGGTGGAGGTTAAAGGTATAAAAGGAAAAAGAAGCTTTACCAATTGAGTTAAAACATCACTAGCTTTCCTGAATTTTAATTTCAGTGTCAGGTGCTGTTCTGTTGCGGAAAGACTCTAGGTAAAAAATTCTCATTCTCTTAAGCTAGAATAGCCTACACATCAGGCTTTCTGATTTATCCAGCTAAGCAGAATTACACTTGAGAACTCAGCCAATTACAGAGCTCCTTCAGCCTTCCTGTTACATGACAGTGAAAAATGCTTGTCTCAGACACATCCTGCTTGTGCACATCCTGTGCTCTGGGCAGCATCAGTGTAATTCTGCCTGACCCTTGCTAAACAGGATTCTTCAAGCACTAGTATCACTTTGTTTTGATGACGCTGGATAAACCTACAGTTTGGAGCTTTTAAATATGTCCACCAGAAGAAAAAGGACGCTTTGTATGTGACATGGGTTTATGCTTAGACCTCTCATGACAGCCTTTTCCTTACTCGAGAACAATCATCAGAATGGTTCTGAACACATCAACCCAATGAGAAATTTCAAGAGAAACATTTTGTATTCCAGTATAATACTCAAGCTGTCCAGCTGGAAAATAATCTGTAAACTGACCAACAGTCACTATTACTCTGACGATGATATGTTTGTCATTTATATCAGTATAGTGGTTTGTATTAATCTCCTGAAATTCCCTTACAAAATAAGGGCATCTATAGATACATTAATATTTTTTTTTGTTTAGCATAAATCATGTTTATGTTAAATGTTTAGCATTTCCCCTTTTTTTTCCATTCTTCTGAATCCGTATAGTTGCATCAGAAACAAAACGTAAATAAAATCTTGGCAGACCAAAAAGCCTGAACAAAAGCCCTGAGCTCAGGGTTTTCTTTGCAAAGCACAACCTGAGAAGGACCAAACACAAAAGGTTGTCCTCTGAAATAAGACTGGGATAAAGGTTAGCACAGTGAGGCTGACAAAGAAACGCCAGTGCTATGGGAGAAGGTGTTCCTGAATGGGCTACAATGAACACAGAACCTAAACCAATCACAACACAGAAACTAACACTTAGTGGAGAAGCAGTTCTGGAAAACAAATGAGTGAACAAATTTTTACTTTCAAAGCGGAAACATACTCAAGTGTGAACTACGGAAAAGTTTCTCTTGTCCTCTTTCCCTTCTGTCTTTTCCATTCTCTCACCTTTCCTCTAAGAGGTTAAGATCCTGTGCGTTAACAATGTGTTGCAGATCATAAAAATGCAGAACCAACTCCACTGGTCAGTACATTGCTCAGCCAGAGTACAAACTCTTAAAGAGACATCTTTTGGAGTTCCTAGATTCCTTATTAGATTCAAACAAACATGGATGTGAGGATACAGTTCAGTAACCCAAGCATCCTTTAAAGCAAATTCTGTATTTTATAGGAAAAAATATGTATCTAGTTTGGAGTGTTGGACCTGTCTAGTAATCTGAATGTTCTGATCTCTTGCACAAAGATTTAATTGAAATATAGAAAGGAATGATAGGAAGAAAGACCCCTAAGACCTGGCATTCCATAGAATGTTTCCTATAGGATTCTTCCCTTCCTTGGTGATTTGTGGCCTTGCTCTATTTATTTGTGTTATCTGACATTTCTAAAAAAAACTGATTGCAGCAGCAACTTGAGAACATAACTTTTTTGAATTCCACACCACTCATCCAGCATGTATCAGAGCCTGCCATAGCTAGCATAGGAAAAACTCCTCCACAAACATACCACATGAAATTTTCTACAGAAAGTTCTACTCAAAAACAAATATTTTCTAGTAGAATAAAGGCTGCTCCTTCATAGCTACATTTCCAAAGAGGAATGGAAACTGCAGGGAAAAAGTCAAATTACTTAGTGTTCTAATGAGCTGCAGAAAGTAAAAACCATCAGGGCAGACATACCATCTAGAACAGGAGCTTTCCTGGTTCCTTTTCACTTCAACTGTAAGACCCCAGCACCTTCCCCTGAGAATGAAGATGCTTAACACCAAGAGGAGAGCACAAATTCCCACTGAAAAGTGCACCATAGAGGCTACTCTCTCCTACCACTGTCAGGTGCTGTTTGGTGAATTAATTTCCTCCCCTCCTTGAGGTGGTTCAATTGGGACTATTGTACTCACAGCTAATGGGTTGTGTGTTCTACACCCAGCTAATGGTTGTCACAGTGGGAAAGGTATGGAGTGGGAGTTTATAGGGACTCATTCTTGATTCAGTACTACTCAGCATTTTAAATGATGTAGCAGTACACAAATCAAAAGCAGAGAACTGGTGTGGGTAGATTGCATGTGTTTTGGACTAAAAGCTCCTGAAGGCTTAAAAGATGTAGTATTAAAGAAAAGCAAACCCAAGTAAGATGAAACTATGCACTATGAATTAAAATCTAAAACTAAGGGGAGAAACCCTGTTGTATATCAGTGGCTGAACTATTAAGACAGTCACCTACAAAATAAAAGAACAATGTGTTACTGGTTGTTGTTCTTGTAACTAGCTCACTCTGCTGCAATTCCAGTTTGAATAATCTTCTGCACTTTCGGCAGGGCACAGAACTCCATTGCCAATTCTTACAAATGAAACATTGGAAACTTGGCTTCTTCTGTACTACAATTGCAGCAGTGAGTGAAAAAAGGAGACACATGGGAAATAGTGCCAGAAAGGATGCAAGTGCACCAGAAAAAAATTCAGTATGGGATTGACTTGGAATAAGCCTCCATCAAGATGTTCAAGGCCACAATGGGCTGTCCACCTCAAATTCTGCATGTCCTTTAGGGAGGATAACCATTCATTAACCAGTAACATAGCTGAAGTGATGCCACACTACTGCTGACCAAATTCACTTTCTCCCACTCAATTTAGTTAAAACAAGGTCCCCCTAAATGAAAATGTCTATTCATAGGATACTAAATACTTTGGGTTAGCAAAATATCTTTTAAATCTTGACGTTTTCATTCCTTTCCCCTCTCATGACTAAACTGTCAATTATATTAATGCTTTCTTTAGTGTCTAGATTTGCTGATTTATCTGCTGTAATTTAGAAATCCTGGGCATGTATGACCCAAACACCTTTTCAATAATTTTAAAATCTCTGTAGTTGTAAATCTAACAATATGTTAATAGACAAAGTTTGATCTTTTCAAATATATAAGTGACACCTGACACAAGATTTCATGTATTTCCAATAATGTGCCAAAACTTTATTGAGTTCACTCAACATCTATGAGGATTTATGTAGGATATTGTTAAAAAAAAAAATCAGTTCCTTTTTTACTTTCACCTTCAACAAAAGTACAGTAAGGTTTCTGGTGTCACAGCAGTCTCATTCATTTTCATGCAGACAATTTTTGGTACAAACAGGACTCAGACCAAGGCTGAGTAAGTGCAGGAAATCTCCGAAGTAAGAAATGTCTCATTCTAGCATATTTTATCCTTCGACTAGACAACGAATGAAATGTTTGTTTTTTTTCTACAATGCAAAAAAGAAGACAGGTGTTTTGTCCATAGTTTTATTTCATCAGGAAGGTTTATACAGTTCTGCATAAAGGTCATTGTATGCATAGCCTGAAGTACAAAGCTCCCTTTGAAAACTCCAGCACAAAGACACTGCATATTGACAACATTAAACAACGATGTGGGTGGTATAGGGCAAAAAAAAAAAAATCAAAACAAAACATCATTCTTCCTATTGGAAAAGCATAATAAAACAAGGCACTTTCAGTAAATAAGTGAAGAACAGAAAAATGCTGTATCAAAGATTCCACAGAACTGACCCAGAGCACTGTAACAAAATTCTGCAGTAATGAACAAGTAAAATACAAAAAGGCACTACATAACCCTCTCCCTGCAACTCCCATTTCTCAACCAATTAGCCAACTGAACTTGGCACAATGGAGTCTTAATTATAAAGTGCATCTCCTGTCTTAATACATTTTGAAAAATAGGCTATACAACATAGGTACCAACATCCCCATGTGTACAATATATTGAAACAAAAATACACTGCAACTAGATTCAATCTAGTTATGAACTGTGCAGGAAAAAATATGGCTTCTTTACAAGTCTTTCAATAACCTCCATATAATCTGGAATATTTTTAAACAAACATGAATGCATTAGCAAGGTGGTAAGAGGTAGTGTTCTGAGTAAAAGGCAAACTTACAGATTTTGTTGTTACATGGGTATATAACAAAGAGATCCCAGATTTTCAAAGCAGCATTACTGAACAAAAAGTATTACAGCATGCTATCTTGGGATGAAAATACACAGTGTTTTGGGGGTCTCAGATCAGTTCTTTCAGCAAAAATGACCATCTTACAATGTCCAACTATGATCCCATTTTGTAACTACTTTTCTCTTGGTACTGAAAAGTTTTCCTATTGCATTGCATAAAATTTCCAGAGAAACTTTCTTCAACTTTAGAATTTAAAACCAACACATTCTCCATTCCTAAACACAACCGAGTCCATTTTTACTTCCGCAAGCATTATTTTATGGCTATAAGAAAACATAAATAGCAAACAGATGAACACATCAAATGTGTCACAACAGTAGCAATATATGACATATGAGTTAGATGTGTTCCATGATTTAATGTGAAACTTTTGTCATTCTGCTAAGAAAGTCAGCCAAATTGTGTATGTACACTATCTAAACTTTAGCTGATTTTAGCCCTTATTAGACGTCAATATATTAAATATATAAAGGCTAGGTAAAAACTGAAATCAAAGCAGCACTGGGTATATTTCTTACATTAATAATTTGTAAGGATTTATGTAAACATTCAGTATGTGCATTCTTGCTCTTTGCTGTAAATTCTTCACAGCTCCTCTATGATCCTACCCACAGATACACCCTTAACATGAATCTTTCCCAGGTAACAGCTGCTGCTAGCAGCTCGCTTATTCTTCATCCGCGGTACATGCTACTTCAGCAACTTCAATTTCTGGGACGGAATTTCCAGCCAAAGAGCCACTCCAGCACGGTTCATGGTTCTCTTTGTCTGAGCTGCAAAGACAGATCAATAAGTGGAAACTGGTATGATTTTCTATAGCCATTTTACGGAGACAATCCACAAAACATGGACAAAGCTTTTTAACATCGCTTATTCCAGATCTAAAATTATCTGTCCTATGGGCTTTTATGCAGCAAAGAGGTGCAGTAAAATACTGAATTTCTCAGATGTGCAGAATTAATGCAAGACTAAACATTTCAAAAAACGTACTTTAAGAATAACTAAAATACAAGTAAAATAATAGTATTTACCAGCTGTCCTCACCCAGGGTACCCTGGTCTGCTTCTACTGCAGAAGACTCCACCTCACCACTGCACTCACTTTCTTCTCCTGACATTTGACGAGTCATTTTTCCTAAAGATAAATCCCTACAACAGATAAGAACAGAGTACCACCAATCCATACAGCAAACATTTGTCACTGAAGAACTGTTTGTTTCATTTTACCCTGTGCAGTTTCTGCAAAAAGATTGAAAGTAACCTTTCAACCTCGCTCCTGCATGCCCTATTTCTTTTATTTGTACAGAGATGGCAGGGCTTGCACTGGATAGCTATTTAAGCAGTTTATTTGCTCCAGCTGCTTATTCCTAAACTCAATTCAGTCCTCTAAATCCCTCACCAACAAGACCATTAGAGGGATGGAGCACCGTTCCTATGAGGAAAGGCTCAGAGAATTGGGTTTGTTCAACCTGGAAAAGAGAAGGCTTTGAGGTGATCTAATTGCAGCCTTCCAGTACCTAAAGGGAACCTAAAAGAAAGATGCAAAGAGACTTTTACAAGAGCCTGTAGTGACAGCACTGTTCCCCTAAGGTAGAATGGCTTCAAAGCTGAAAGAGGGTAGATTTAGATTGGATATTAGGGAAAAAAAAATCTTAATTGTGACGGTACTGATGCACTGGAACAGGTTGTCCAGAGAAGTTGTGGATGCCCCTGGCAAGGCCAGGCTGGATGGAGCTCTGAGCAATCTGGTCTAGTGGAAGGTGTCCTTGGTCATGGCAGGGGGTTTGGAATTAGCTTGTCTTCCAGGTCCCTTCCAACCCAGGCCATTTTATCATTCTCTGGTTGCATGACAATTTAGTAGCTTCACAAAATTCAAGTCCCAGAGGAGTGTGTATGACTTAAGGTAAGAAAATACATTCAGACTAAGCCACACACATCTTGTCTAAATGGCAGAAGGATTATAATCAAAATATAGTCAGAAGCAAGACAGAATGATGACAAAAAGATTACAAGAGAAACAACAGTTTCTCAAGTTTCTCACTGTAACTTTTACAAAACCACACACTGTTTCAAAGCAACACATTTTTCCATTAGTGATAAAGACTTTTTTTCTTAATAGCAACAAAAGATAATGGTCCAGCTAGCTTGGCTACAAACGGGAATATGGTCATGCAGATTGACCAAAGAAATCCTTTTTTCCAAACCATTTCTCTATGTGGAAACCATACATCAATTTAGCATTGAAAGCTATGACTTGAATTGGAAACAAAAGCTTGTGATCCATTTTGTGTTTAAAGTGATATTACTATATTTCTTTCCCTTTTAAAATTGGTTTAACTATTGTTATTACTTTATTTTAATGCATGTATTTTTTGTAAAGCCTGAGCAGCATTCTATAACATGACTACCAGCCTGTGTTTGAGCCAAATCCAGCAATGTAATAATAATAATAATAATAATAATAATAATAATAATAATAATAATAATAACAATAATAAATATTAATAATAACAACAATAATAACAATAACAATAATAATAATAATAGTAATAATAATAGCCCTGCAAGTCTCGGGACTTATCCAGCTGTCCCCTTTTGCCTCACATCAATTTTAGGTACCTGGCCATTAGAACATGAAGGTGTAAGATACTTAATTCTTGTTGGGCCATCAAAAAAAAATTCTGTTTCAACAAGACCAAAGACAGACACGTTTCTTTTGTGTTCATTTCCCATCAGACAAGCTGAAGTTCTTAAACAAGATCACAAGTTTATTTGGTGTTTTTTACAGCTAAAAGTCACAGAAGTTATTTTTCATAAAATAAAAATAAGACTTCAGACTTATATGTCTGGGAAACTAGCAGTGTGTTTGAGTATTTAAAAAAACATTATGTATCTTCAGGGAAAACAGTAAAATATCAAGTCCCTTTTTGCTATTAACATCTTTTTATTTTCAGTCACACAGAATTTCCTATCCTGATGTTTTAGCCAAATGCAATTTATTTAACTTTTCCTGACTATTTCACTATTAAAGCCAGCAGCATGTCACAAATTTCTCATCAAACAGGGGAAGTATCTTTCAAATGTAATTACTTGCCTTCAGGAGTAAACAGCAAACTGAATATGGTGTTCTGATCAGAATTTTCAGTCACAATAATTCCATTTAAAGCCTTTTCCAAAGGTAGTTAACTAGAATATTTTAAGGTGTGATTTGTTAGTCAACCTGGATATGCTGAATTCAGCAATCCATTCAGTATTAAAATAAAATTAGTATTAAATTTTCTTTTTTTAAATTTCTTCACTGACAAACACAGAGGGGATATTTTTTCATCTGATCTCATGTTAGGAAGAGATTCTTTACTGTGAGGGTGGGAGGCACTGGAACAGGTTGCCCAGAGAAGTGAATGCTCCATCCCTGGAGTGCTCAAGGCCAGGTTGGATGGGGCCTTGAGCTACCTGGTCTAGCAGAAACTGCATGATCTTTAAGGTTCCTAAATAATTCTAGGATGTTCTAATGGGACCATAAGAATTCACTCTTCTGCTGAGGAAACTCTGTGATACTGACTCAGCAGCTCTAATACTGGATAGCACAACATCAATTCCTCAGCTCCTGCTACAGAATTTAGCAGACAGGTACCATTTTCCCTTGGGTTTAAATGGACAATCTCCCATGCTATGTAAATGGCACCTGCAGCATCTCATTCCAAGCAATTCAAAATGAAGTTAAACAAATTATTACAGATACACAACTGCTGGATCACTATGCTCTGTCAAAGCTTTGCGTAGAGACAGAACTTTATAACTCAAAGCAATTTTCTCACTCATTTCTAGCAGGGCATTTCACATTTTCAACATTTCAAAAGCAGAACAGAATCTTGCTCTATCTTTACAGGACTTAAAGGATTAGGAAACAAGAGAGTTACTGTAGAGGGAAAAGATAGGACAAGTTTCTCAGTCATTTGTACTTAGCAGCTTTTAGTCAGCATATGAGAAACAGCTTACTGAAAATATTGCTTTGTATGTGGTTACACAGGGAAAATGGTTTCCAAGATACAGCTAAAGCTGGTGGTTGTGACAAGACAGAGAAAATGCTTTCATGGAGATAACCTCCTAAAACCCTTAAAATTTCTACATACCTAATTCTTCTTTCAACAGCATCAATATGAAGTTGCTTTTCAGTTAATAGTTTCTTCAGTGATTCAACCTCCCTTTGTTTTTCAAGCAATTCTTTTTGTAGACGATAATTTGTTTCCTCCAGAGTTTCACAGAAAGCCTAAAAGACAAATTTAAGAGCATCTTCAGTGGACTGCCTTTATTAATATTTCTCTTAGAAATATCAGCCTGTTACAGTGTTATGGCTGCTTGTCTTCAGATTGATCACTGTAAAAAGCTATGTAAATTTTAAACAAAATTCTTATCTTAGTAATGCTGCTTTGCTTTGAATGATGAATTTATTATGCTAAACTGCAATGCAAATACTTTAATCACATCATTTGTTTGTCTCACAAGAGACACTAGAAGAGATTTCGTACCTTTTTGCCTTTATGGAACATAAACTGAACTCCCTGCTCCCTTTTCTCCTCATAAATTTGTTTCCACATGACATGAAAGTCAAAGTATCTATACATTCCTACAATGCAAGGAATACTTGGATTAAGTACGTATTTCCTCTTTACCCAGGATAAAGACAAAGCTGAACAGTTCTGTACTAAACACAATTATGAAATCATGACAATCAGAAGTACAAAAATATTTTGAAGAAGTTTAATGGGATGCTGTGAACACTAACTACCCAGCCATGACAAAAATGCTGTGCTGCTCTGCTGAGCATGACATGTACGTATCACACTCCCTGATGGACCTGTCAGTGAGCAATCCAAAACCTCACGTGAAGAGCCCCTGTCTAAAGCAACGTCCACTGAATGCAGGAAGTGACAGAAGCGCTGGCACAGAGCCTCCTCATCTATTACTGGAAAGCACAAGTCTTCCAACAGTAATGTGCAATTATGATTTACTAATTTACACGTTCTCTATAAATAACAGCCCCACGTGGGAGGCTTTTTTGGCTTAATATTACCTGCAACTAACCACTAATTCAGAGTCCACTGAATACAAACATTTTATATGAGCTCAGTAGAACAATGCTGTTAAGACACTGTTTCTCCTAAAGTTTTAAAGCACACTACAAACATCAAGAATATACTATCCATTGCTTTAACTGAAGCAGACTCATGATTTTTAAAATGCTAAGTTTTCCTGTAATTATACAATACAAACAAATGAGGAGTTTTCAATTCAATAACACTATTTTTTCCATGGAATTTTAATTTATTTTATTGACTCAGATAGCAAATTTATCTTTGTTGACAGGCACGTGAAGACCAGTCATGAGTTAAGCCATAGCTTTACTCATGTCTGCTAGAGCCAAGAGCACATGTCATGCAACTCATTCCTGACACAGCATTTGTAGTGATTGCTTTAGCGATCACTCTAGTTAACCAGTGATCCCATTTCAGTCAAGACAATTAAGTAAATTTTTCTGCTCTTTGTAAAAATATTCAAGTTCCTGATACTCTAATAACTGAAAATTTGACATTATTTCCTTAAGAATATAATTAAGTTTATTATTTCAACCTTTAGATGTATGCTCATGGAAATTTCCCTATATACAAAAAAATAGATAAAAATATTGCACAAGTGTTGAAAACTGTTTAATTGTTCTGCATGAGAACTGAATAAAGCCTTTTGAAAAAACTCATCTTTAACTGCAGTCTGAGTATGAGCTGCCCAAGCAAACACAGGCACTGTTTGCAACTGAGTAAGAAAACATCAATATATTCTGAAGGATGCTGTAAGAGCAGAAAAATGAACCAAAGCTGAGAAAGGGAACAGAGTCTAATGAGCTATCTTATTCTTCAGACAGCTGGACACCTGGAGTCTGGAACAGTTTTGATATCCAGGTTGGACTAATTTTCCCTGTAATTCTGAAAGGACAATTAAGAGACAGCTTTGCTTCAGATCATGAAATAGAAACGGCTGGGAAAAGATCTGTGGAAACAACTACCAAGGACATGACCAAAAAAAAAAAAAGAAAAAAAGAAAAAAAGAAAAAAAAAAGATTTAGTGAATATTTTGCCTACTTTTTTGTGATTAAATTTCTAGGCCTAATTAGCTTCTAATGGAGCAGGTACCTGTATCTCTTCCCCAGAAAACATAAATGTGTTTTGGCAAGTCCTTGGAATAACAGAATAGACATAAACCAAAGAGAAGATATCCATATTTTCCATTATAAGGAAAACAGAAGATTTTTTTCCTGCAATGCTTTGGATGGTAACAGAAAGGCAAAACAGAAGTAAGTTTTGATATATCTTTAAAAATGTACTCCACAAATAAGTACACGAACCTTGGTGCTTTTCTTGTATACGGCAGTTCAGGGAAAGAAAAAAGAGCAACAAACAGTAAGGGATGGATACAGATGCTTTTAGTATGCAGTTTAGGCTCCTAACAATCAGAAGCAAGACAAAAAACACGACCACAACCATGGATTTCAGGTTGAGAAGACTTTGAATCTCTTCAGAAACCTGCTTGGAAGAAAGAATCCATGAGAAAATAGCTTGGAGCAAAGGGCAGTCCAGGAGAGCTAGCTGATATTTAGGGATCACCACCTGCAGCTCAACAAGTAGAAAGTCAAGCAAAGGTTGCAGGTGGCCTGTGTGGATAAGCAAGGATCTCCTGAGCGCAGACATAAAAGGCAATTCTACTAGGGGTGAAAGCATGGAGAGATGACACAGGAGGAATGCAAGGCTGCTGTCTAATCTTACAGGAATAGGATTATGAAAGTGATGGACAACCTGGAGCTGAATCTGGCAAGGCATGTGAAAAGAAACAAAAAAAGGATTCTACAAGTACATCATCACCAAAGGAAGATGGGAAACCATGGACTTGTGTTGACTGGAAAGACCAGCCTTAAATAATTCCTTCCCTGCAACCAGAAGAAAGGTCTTCAGTGGGGGATGATCAGATCAGGGAGCACTTAAACAAATTGGACATATTAATGTCCACGGGACCTGAGAGGTTGCACCTTTTTACTGTGCTGGTGCTCAGCCACTGGAACAGGCTGGACAGAGAGGCTGTGAAGTCTCCTCTGAAGAACATTAAAAACCTGACTGGACATGGTCTTGGGCAACCTGCAGTAGCTGACCTTACTTGAGCCAGGAGGGTTGGAATAGGTGATCTCAAGAATTCCCTTCCAACCTCACACCTATAAATAAGATGTGGTAGCTCTTGGAGAATTTTATGTCAGCTACCTCAACAAGTTCACAGAAATGGGTAATAGCTAAAACTACAACAGCACAGCTATTTTAATGGCTTGATTAAATTCCAGTGGAAGAATAACACAGATTTCACCACAGCATGCATGACTGAAATTTCAATCTAGAAGGCACTTTAATTTTTTAAATCATCTGAATGAATAATTACAGCAATTTAAAAAAATGTCATCAACTTAAATGTCAGTGATAAAAAGGGATTGTACAGAAATCAAATGTGAGCTTGTGACACAAGAAACATACCATATCATTCACATGCACATAGTAATGTAACAAGAGCCAAGGCACTCCTACATACATGCAAAACAAATGGGCAAATATAAACTTAGTTGAATGAGCATCATTTAAAATTCATAATTTCTGCAAGACTAACAATGTATGTACAATTCTAAAACACAGTTATTCTATAACACAGGAAATCTAAGATGATCTGCTCTAGACAACCTTGATACAGCTCTGCATGTCAGTAAAACTTACTTCTAATACAACAGGCTGCAGAACACAATATTATTTGTTTAGTGTGCTCATATACATGTTGAAAGGCTGCTGGTTTACAACACTACTTGACACTACTTAGTTTTCTGCAAGAACACTTACTAATCATTTAACTGCATTCATTACAGATGAGAAGACATCCCTTCCCATGACAAGGGTGTTGGAAGTAGGTGATCTTTAAGATTTCTTCCAATACATTCCATGATTCTGTGATTTTATAGCAAGAAACATTTCCCCACAAGACCTGAAGTCTAAGGTGTAAGCATTGTAACAATGTGCTGAATGTAAACTTACAAAATCTTTCTTCATATTCAGTAGGTGCCTTATATAAGCAGTTGCTTTACAAAACAAACTTCCTCCACGGCTCATAAAAGGCAAAAAAGAAGAAATCTTTTGGGGCAAGGATGAAGTAGAGCAGTCAAACATCATCAGCGTGCACCAATTATCAGACCACACCCATTCTAGAAACACATCCTTCTGTGATTTTTGTGAAAGAACAGAAACAGAAGTGTTTCATTCCATATCATTGCACAGATCTTACAATATTCTAACAACACCTGCCTTTTGCATTCTGTTTCTATTCTACTACTTAGCACTTACCCTGCTCTCTTCTAGGCTGTCAAAAGGACCTGGAGGATCATCCAGACAAAGAAATTCTCTCACTGCAAGGCTTTACCAAATAAAAAAAGAGTTAATTACTTGAAGTATAAAACCAGCAACAACACTTAAAAATTACCACAAAATGGAAGTATTTGTTAAAGTGGCACAAAAATTTACATCCTCAAATTTACTCCTAAGTATTCAAAACAATTAATAAATCAATAGTTAACAAACTATTAAGTCTCAGTTGTATGTGTTGGCCAGGGACAGTATTTGGAATGTAACTTAAGATGAGTAAGCAATTTTAGAACATAATTTTTCATGATTTTTCAAATTTTTCACACAGTTTTTAGCTACACGACAACTAGCAAGTTTATCACTTTCATATTGAAGAGTTTTGAAAAATTCTTTGGGAGAAAAATAAGTATTATATGGTGGATGAAAAGTATGCTGTTAAAATCCATATGCGGATCCCTTCAGGTAGTATCAGGGGATTTAAGCATAAGTACTGAAACATGTTCACCAGCTTCCATTTTGCTAAGATCATAAACCATTGACATATACACATTATATAGCTTTTATATATACAGTATATATTTTTATATAAATAATAAGTTATAAAATAATAGCAGACAATGTGCCATGGATCTACTACATAGCCATCTCTGAACATACGTTTCAAACTAATGCATTCCATTTGGATTTGTGTAACAGTTGCCATCCCTCTCTGTGTGCTGTTTTGCAAAGGTCAGAAAAAGGAAGTAGGTGTAACCCTGTGGTTTACTACAGAGTATTTCAAGCATCTATCTCATTCTACCTTCCAAATTTAGATTACTTTTCACAGAACTACTAATTATCTCCAAACATGTCCCTTCAGCCACCTTTTCAAGACTTTCCTGCTCAGTTGTATTCATTCTTCTTCAAATAACCTCAAATCAAAACACCATATTCACAGTTAATTAGTAATTCACAATTAAGTAATTAAGCAATTTAGGATCAATGCTGTGCTGGCACTTACTACTGTAAATCTTTAAATCATATCCTACTGCAATGAGTGCACAAAAATGAAAAATGTGAATCCAAACTTAATTTCCTGAGTCCACCATGGAAAGGTGAGGGCAAAAGGCAGTAATCTTCTGTTTTCCACTCATTCTCTGCATCTAAGGTTTTCACAAAGTACAAACACAAGAAAGGAAACTTTCACCCAGCTACCATCCTAACTGACCAGCTTCAGATGTGGCAAGCAAAATGAGGAGAAATTTCTTCAAACACTAATCATTCATTATCCTATCACTTTTAGTTTTAAAAGACTACAGAACATTTATCTAAAATACAGTGAACATTTACTTTGTTGTTTATTTACCTAAAATAGGTACCTGATGGCATGAACATTTATTCACAGCCTAGCTTTGCTCTGAGAGTTTGCTCTGACCCTGCTCTCCATGTGTTACACCTCTTCCTTTCATTTCATGAATAGAGTATTCTGCCTGTAAAGTACCACAGGGATCTTTTCTGTCCTGACACAGAGCTGGCTGATATCCCTCTCCAGGGAGCAGTGCCAGCATTAGGGAGGGCAGCAATGGGCAATGCAGCACATGAGATCCCTGACTCCAAGCTGACCGAGTTCCTCCCTGCCAAGCTTCTTATACAGGGTGGAGACAAGACAGCTCTGTCATCTATATAAAGCCAGATGATGCTTTTGTTTAGCAGGTTAAACTTCTTTCTGCCACTTCACGAGTTCTATGAAATTTTCCTGAACACAATTTAACTCTGTTGATGGATTTCAATTTGATCTTTTACTGAATCTTCAATACGACATAAAACATGAGAAGACTATAAAACACAAACTTTAAATTTAGCCACCTGCATATATTATCCCCCATTTAATCTTTAAAATATTTTGTGAATCTATTTATTAAAAAATGGGTATACCAAATGAGGTCTCCTATCCCTGAAGGGCAAATTTCCCACTGTCAATACAGTACATGAAGTATAGAGAGAAATAACAGACTTCTCAACAAGGACAAAAGGCTGTTTTGGTTTATGTCTGACCCAAGCAGTTTGACTTATTTGCAAAACTGACAAAGTAAATGGTGAGCTTTAAAGGAGAAAACAGGGTGAAAGGCTCACCACTGCTCATGTGAGGTACAAATACTAATTCCCATTAACAGTAAATTTATTCTGTGGTAAGTGGGTAAATATATTGGATGGATCAAATCTCCCTCATTCTAATCTCTTCTTGAGGAATTCAGACCCTCCATAGATCCAAACATTAGAACCGTATCAAGAGGTTGCAAAGTTTATTAAAAAAATTTGCCTTCATGCAGAGCCCTACATGGACAAAAGTTATACAAACCACATTTCAGTTAATCATCTCTTCATTAGCCAAAATACAAACTCACTCCATAAACATTTTAATTCCTTTTTGTATCTTTGATAACCAATGCAGTTTAAACGTTACAGTTTGGAGTTTTTTTGCCTTAAACTATGACAAACACTATTTTGTCCAATATGGTCCATCACTAAGATACAAACAAGCCAGCTAAAATGCTGAATTAGCTGCAACAATATGAAACATAAAGACTTCAGATGTATTTAAGCAAGTCCATTCACCAGTGTGTCTCCAGCAGCATAAGAAAAGCTACGTTTAGGGATTATTAGAGATTGATTCCTTTTCTTTTTGGCACACTTATTATTGTGTAATTTAATTATTAGGAAGCTTTTAAACTTCTCAGCTGCATACCTCACCCATATAATCATATTTAATAGCCAGTGACACAGAAACTTGTAAGTTGAGCCCCATTTCTTTTTGAAAGCATTTAAGCTTTGTCTCCGACATCTCACAACAGAGCTTTGCCACTCAGCATGACACACTCCAGGATGACTATGAATCATCAAAATATTAACATTCTTTATTCACCTTCCCTCACCTCCCCCTTTGATGATTTTACACGCCCTTTTTGTCTCACCTAAGACAAAAGACTAAACAGAAATCTTCTTGCAGGGAAGTTTTTCTGCAGCTTCATCTGTTCTTGTTTGCTTTCTCTGTACCTCTTACAGACATCTCCTTTGAAATGGAATGCTGTGTTTTACCACTGAACTATATGGAAGTACAATTCAGATTCCCAGAGCAATAACTTCTTTTTCCCCTTTTAAGTTCCTCTAATGATTTTAGTGAAACTTTTTGACTATTGCTGAGTACTGAACTGATTCAGAAAACCAGTGGAATCAATACCAATAGTTATTTTCCACATTGCAAAAACCAGCTGAGTTCATAAATCTGTATGAGTGTACTTATTGTCATTTTCTACTTCAAGACATGAAAACTGATGTTAGTCACTCTGTACCTCAGGATCCTTCTACAACAATTTGTGATCTCATTGTTCATTCATTCTCCACATAATTTCAAGATGTTCAGAACAGCTGTGTCCACAACTGTAATCTAACATCCCATTGGTACTACTACTCCTAAATTCCCATCAATCCTTTTCCCCTTGTCTTTTACCATTTTATTTGAGCCCTGTCACAACTACTTGTTTGTCTCCACAGGAAACATTACATCATTTTTATTTACCTGCTTACAACTTTGGGGTTTTTTACAGCAGTCAAATGTCTCATAAAAACATGTCAAATGTAGTAACAGCCCTTCTACTAAAAAGTAAAGTATGAGCATTATACGGTCTCATGGTCCCACACTACAGCTTGATAATTTTAAAATTTTTCTCCTTTAAAAGTCTTGAGGGAATTAGGTTTGCTTAAGAACATTTCTTACTCTTTGTTTTGAATGACTTTTCAGATGATGACAGGTTTTCAGACTCATTCCTCAAATAATCTCTAGTATAACAACCTGAACTTTTATTTCTGTGCTGGCAAAGGTTTTAAAACTAACTACTTTGCCTCTAGCAAGTTGCTTACTTAAATTCTCTTCTCGTTCGTAATAAAATTACTTTACATTTCATTTGTCAGAATTACATTCTATTAATTTTCCTGCTTTGGAAGAATCTCCCACTTTGTACAAAAAAAGATACTGCTGAAAGAAATCTTTGCACTTTGCTGCTTAAACACATTATGTTTTTTAAACTATTAAAACTTTCTTGATTTGTGGTTTACATTTACTTATGTACTGAAATCTGTAAAGGTACTACTATTACTTTCATGTCAATTAAAATTCTGTAGCTTAATACATATTTTAAGAACTAATTGCAAATTAGTGTAGGTAGTCTCCATTATGAAAGCCTAACACACCTGGTATATATTAAAAATATTATCAATTCTGCATTAAACACAGAAAAGTAATGCTTTAGGAATAAACATGAGAATATTCTAACATTTAAAATAGTACAGCTTTTATTTATCTCAGTGGAATTCAAAATACCGCAATTCCACTTTTTTATGCTAAGATGGGACTAATTAAAAAGGACATTGAATAATTCACATAATGACTAAATGCACAACTCGAATGTTACTGAAATCCCTCAGCACTACCCAAAGATACACTGCTTTATAAGAGGAGTATGGACAGAAAACAAGCCACAAATGCACAAGCAAAGGTTCATCACATACCAGTTAGCAATATCTTTATGAGCTACTAGGTTCTGGAGGAATGCCTGCAGCCCCAGCTGTCGATCTTCCAAGAAGTCAGGATTGTAATTGTCCTTGAACCAGCGCTTTGGTGGAAGGGCTAACCGAAAGCCTGGAAACATATCTTTTAGCTGAAATTGAAATTAAAATTGAAAAAAATTAAAAATTCGAGAAAAATACTCATTTTGCCACAGGCACTGACTGTACAGCTCTTCTTGCTCAGATTTATGAGCTATTTCTGATTTCTGCTAAGTTCAAGCACAAGATAAATCTCAACCATAAGTCCAATCCAAATTACAACTTAAATTGCGGACACAGTCCTGTCACTTGCTGTGCTGCCTTATGCAATAGAGTGCTTTGTATTTTTCCTCAAATCTAACACATAAAAATAGGAATGAAAACCTTTGCTTTGTTATTTAATGTCTGAGTCTGCTATTTAAAGCCTTTGAGTCTGTAAACATAAGAAAACTGTAAAAAAAGTATCAGATGAATAGTAATTTCATTGGTATTTCTTCTAAAATACTCAGGGATATTAAGTACTATATATACATCTGTATAGAATAAAACCCCATTATAGATCTACAACTCTGCAACTTGTCTTTCTTGGGGGGCTAGAAGAATAAATTACAACACATGAATGAAATATTTCTTGTAAAGAGTAGTTCTTTGTACACCCAGAATAATAAAATTTCAATATGCAAGTATGGCTCCAACCCTAGTAACATGCAAAATTGTATTTCTGAGTGACTTAAACAGCAACAGCATATAGTTGACATTGGAAATACCCAGATTTTTTCTTTGAATTCAGAAATAAAATATACAAGTGAATGAAAGCATAAAATTATACAACAATGAACCTCTCCAAGAGTACCAATTATTTTCCTAATATGCATTATAATAAAAAAGAACTTTAACACTGATAAAAAAAATTTCAAAGTTATGCTTGACAAAGAAAAAATGGGAGAGGATCTACAACCAACATGAAAAAGCAAATAGGTTTTATGAAGTCTGATATCTCAGCTGCCACAACAATTTCATCTTTTTTTCTGAATACAGGATCTAGCCAACTTCTGTCACAGCTGTTCTGCATACACAGATTATATTAATATGAATGTTGCAGCGACAGAAAATTCTAATGGGCAGCTCTTTCACCAGATTAAGTTTTAGACAAGTTACAACAGATACTGCATTTCAAATAGAATCTTGTAAGAGAACAGATTGGGGAAGATTAGGAATGGGCCTGTGGCCAAGCCTCATCCCTAATGGGGTGCAGCTGTATAGGACAGGTGAACAGAAGTGTAAAGCAGAACCATGGAATGCTGATGTGTACTGTCCCATCACAAAAGAGTAAAAGGGCACGCAGGTGTTATGCATATGAGAGAAAAGGTTTAAAGAGCTGGGAGGAGAGAGGCCCTGTGAGAGGAAGGGGGGGTCAGTGTTGTATGGTGCGGCTGCAACAGAGGAAAAGGCAGTCAGTGTTAATAAACTGCTGATGCTTGCTACCATATTTGGCATCACCGTTTGAGCCCACTGTCAATTGGGAAAAATGTATTAAAGTTTTTAGATAAGGAACTGATGCTTGTGTCAGTTGGGAGACCAACTTAATTAATTTGATTAGTGTCCTGTGTAAGGAGCAAGTTACAACAGAATCTCGCTACACATTTTAAAGGAAGAACCACATTAATGGATCACCTTTGCTTATGCAAGTATTGTTTCAGCAAGAGGTGCTTTTTAAGCATCACAAGTACTGTTTATTTAAACAGCTCATGATAAATACTAGTTCCTTATTTACAGAATCGTTTATTGTCAAAGCCTTGATCTTTATTTCTGAATTTAAGAATTTGAGTATGTTTTCCTCTTTCATCTTGCTATTAGACTTTTCAAGTTTATCTTTGGTCCCCCAAAGTTCCTTCATCTCTTACAAAGTTATCATTAATACCATATATATATATATATATAAAATAATGTATCTGAATAGAACAGGACTCATAAAATATAACAAAATGGGTTCCTATTAGCTAGTACACAAGATCGCAGATAACCATTGGGAAAGCTTTTCAACCACACAGATTTCTGTTTCATGGTACTTTTATTTGTCCAGTCACGTGGATCACGTAATTTAATTCTAAGGCGAGAGTACACCTACCCACAGATTATTCCTTTTGTGGATGGAGAGTGTAAGAGTCAGCTGCTGTCAGTGCACTAATTTTCAACAGCACAGTCCCGGGGCATTCTTTCTTGATCACTCCTCAGACACAGCAGGAATACCTGTGGGTCAGACAACTTACTCTGGCCATGATTGCTTGCTCGGATCCAGTACCTTTCCTGCTCCTTCCTACATCACCATGTGACACATTACACATGTCACATGAGTCACAGTCTTGGAGAAAAATGGTAAACTTCTTGGTTCTTAAAACTGGCTATTTCATTTGGTGTTTTTAAACTATTATGTTACTATGATGTAATTCTCTAATATTAATGGTGATATGTTTAGGCTCCTAGAGCTGACATTTCTGTATTATAAAAAATAGAATGCCTTACAAACCAAAGAGTAAATGGTTTACATGTATACTGAAAGATGAAAAAGCTTCAGACAATGACAAAAATTTTTAAAAATAGAGATTTCTCCTTTAAACAAATACTAACACCTAGAAATAATGGTAAAAGCTAAGTATTTTTCCCAAACATTTGATGGCAAATACTAAGGACTTCATATGTAAAATTTAAATATTTATTCTAATAGATATTTCAGCATTTTAAGTTTTCAAACCACTGACAAGCACACTAAAAGTCAACAGAAGTAAGCCAATTCTTGACCTATACCTGACATAGCTGATCAAAATGCCAAGTCTGTATGACTTGACTTCCAAAATCTGACTTGAAACACCAAGATCATTGTCTCAAAAGAAATTAGGCTTTTGCCAATATCAAGACATTCCTTAATTTAAGACAGACTGTATTTAAGACAGGAACTTCTTCAGAAAGAAATCTCTAAACTAAGTCACATTTCAGAATTTAGTTTTATATTCCAGTGGTGCTTCAAATGCAGCTTAGAAGATATTCAAAAAGGTCAAATCAAGAACCGAGAGAAATTTATAAGTTCATGTCCATTTTCAGAACTTCAGCTGAATTTAGCTTAGTTGATCAGGCACATAAATCCAAAGTGATAACCGATACAAAAAAATCCCTTACTATGGGTAAAAAAAGTGTGTTAGAAGGTTCATGTTGAAACATGAAAGAACATGCTAGCAGAAAGTGTGTTGAACTGGCAATGAAAGATTAATCTTAGGAGTGAACAGTGGACCAAAAAAAGTGCAATTGTTTCCCTACTTTTGATAGCCAAACACTATTTACCAATCATAAAAACCTGTGCTTTTCAGACCAGCATTCCTCCTTTCAAGTATTCTAAAAATATTAAGTTGTTGACTCAGAATTCCTATTTATCTGGTGTTTCCTCCATCTTTAAAGATCTGATATACTATTTCACTATTAACTTTGAAGAGACTGAAAACAACCTACAAAGAACATATTTGTGCTCATGAAATTTCAGTTTTATGAGAAACAAAAGAAGAGTTTGTTACACAGAAAAGAACTAAATAACTACTGGATCCTTCCTGCAAGAGAATACAAGCCCCTAGTTCTATTTCCATGCAGGGGAAAAATATTCAAGAGTTAATTCCTTTATCATATAAACTAGGAATAAAGTTTGAAGCACACTAACAGCATCAGATGAAGTTGTTACATATTCTTTGCATCAGTGGAAGCTGTTACATGTATCTTTGAAAAAATGAGGAATCATATTTTTCCAGTCATTAATACAGTATGTGTTTTATCTGCATTAAAATCAGAAAAAAATAGAAGATGTGACAAAAATATAAGACATGAAAGAAGTGAAGTAAGATAGCTGGGAATTTACCAGTTTATAATTCCCACCTTGTCATTAAGCCTGGAGAAATCTGTGTACCGTCTGAAAACCACCCAGCTTTCCTCTGGACTTCTTTTCACCAGTATTTTGTATACCTGTGTGGAAAGATGGATAGATCAGAAAAAGGTGCAAAACTTCACACTGCATTGTCTGGAAGGCTGAAATTATCCTCTATTTCTTAATGAAACAAAACTTGTGGATAAAAAAAAGAAATGCAAATAACAATTATCAGTACAAAGAGTTTAAATTACTTTCAGAATTTAAGGAAGGAGTGCCTCTACTTCCTAAATACATATAACTATTTCTATCTGTAAGAAAGAATGTATTGTCCAGCAGAACAAAAGGCTCAGCTATCAAAATAGTAAGGGAAGTGTGTTTTAGTGATCCACTTTAACGATTGCTAAATTATATTTTTTATTCATTGATCCTGGAGGCCTCTCTGCACTGTATAACTGAAGTAATGGATACTTTGAATCAGATTTAGCAAGACAACAGCACAGCAGTACCATACTCCTACTTAAAAGCAAATGGATAAATAAACAAAACAATGTTGATAATAATTATAATAATACTACTATTACTTTAGGAGTATCAATATTCTAATGAACATTAAATTGATCTGAACACAATGAATCTAATAACACAGCTTCAACTAGAAGACATTAAACAGTGTCTAATGTCACAACCTTACTCTCTCCAATGCAAGGAACGACAGGTTCTGCAACTGTACTGTTATTTTTCCCAGTCTGTGTGTAAAAAATATAATACAAGAAAGAAAAGGATATTTTTAGAATCCTAACGATAAACAATCCCTTATTTAACCAAATTCTGTTTAAAACATTTTCTAATCAGTTACACAGTAAAATATTTTCCACTACTTCATGCTGTCACAGCAGGTTGTTTTAGGTGCTAAGTGTATTTTTCTTTTTGCAGACCCAACATGTGATAACCCCAGTGCTAGCCAACTTCTGAGACTGACTGAGACTGTTTCTAGCAATTTTGTATTCCATAATACATTAAGTTCCAGATAGTTAAAGAAACTACCGATAACTGTGGTACAAATCAAAAGCAATTTTTCAGCAAGTACTCCTCTTATCTATGTTTTAAACACAATTTCACTTTCAAGATGCATCATTTGTGCAAGTCATGGATTGTGACAGAGGAAATAGCTATTATGTTTTAAAATTCAAGCTGCAGGACATGCTTACAAAACCAGCATTAACATACAATTTTTCTGCCTTGCATTTTATGTATAAATGCTTATCCAAACATTTTATTACTTTGCTGTCACACTAAAAGTAGAAGCAGTTTTATTTTCATAAATAAAATTAAGAAATAAATGGGAAATTGTGAAGACTTTGCCAGTACACAGTAAAACACAGAACAAGAAACTTTGGATTATGCATGTGAATTTACTTGCTAATCAGTATTCTACTCTTGTATTCTACTCTAAGTTCTGCAAAAGCATTGGTTAAACATGTATACGAGAAAGAAATTGAATCATTTTCAAGTGAACATTAGATAACCAAAATAAAAGTTCACTAATTACAGTGAACTTAACTGTAACAGGCAGTACAATCATCTTGTGATTACTGGCCTTAAAATTATGGACAACCTGAAACAAACATGTGGTTTTCCTGCCACAGTTCTTCAAAAAAAAGGTGGTTGGGTGTTTTGGCTTTTCTTTAAGGTTTGCAATTAATGAATAAGAACTAGAATATTACAAAAACTCAGTTTCTTCATACAAGATCTTAGGCAAAAATCACAAATTAATTCAATACATTCATTTTATTCCACTCAATCATGAATTGCTTAATTGCTTTATTCTATACATAAAAAATAATCAGTGAAAATACACTCATATGCGGTAATGTTCTCTGGCTGATCCAGCATCACATTATCATTTCTACATGGCTTTAAAAAAAAACCAAAAAACCACCAAAACCAAAAACTGCTAATTGAACATTCCAGGACTGCAGTTAAGACTAAATGTTCATGAGAAGATATTTTTCAGCCTAGGTTTTCTCTCCCATAAGCTTCAACTACATACTCATGCACTAACACCTAACCGCTGAAGTTTGTACATTATTCAGCTTAATCAGATTCTTATTTTTCGAAACTATGAGATGCTACCAACAATAAAATAAAATAATTCAGCAACTGAGTCTTGGTAAGTGATTTTACTTTGATTCCCCATCTTCCATCTCACTGATTTAGCACTGCAAAAGCAACCCAAATTCCTAGGACTAATTACTTGCTGGCTTTAATGCACAACAGCAAACTGCATGTAGAACATGCAACTGAAGACAAAGTTAATTGTGTGGTTTCAGAAACCAACACAGCAATAGAAGTGAAATTGGGAAGAACAAAAATGCATTCAAGCATTTTACAATGGAAGAATGTTTCACTTGTACTGTGACCTGGCCTTCCACATACAAGAAGGAGACAAAGTTGACATTGTTAATACAGTAGAACACCTTACAGGCACACTGCAATATGTCTTGGCAATGTCCTCAAAAAAGACAGAGAACCACTTTCAAAGAAGGGCAACAAGCTGGTGAAAGGTCTAGAGTGCAAGTCATGTGAGGAGTGGCTGAGGGAGCTGGGGATATTTATCCTAGGGAAAAAGAGGCTCAGGAGAGACCTTATGGCTCCCTACAACCACCTGAAAGGAGGCTGTTAGCCAGGTGGGGGTTTGTCTATTCTCCCAGGAAACCAGGAAATGGTCTCAAGCTGCACCAGGGGAGGTTCAGGTTGGACAACAGAAAGGATTCCTTCATGGAAAGGGTGGTTAAACATTGCACTGAGCTGCCCTGGGAGGTGGTGGAGTCGCCACCCCTGGAGGTGCTCAAGAAATGACTGAATGTGGCACTTTGTGCCATAATTTGGCTGTCAAGGTGGTGATCAAAGGCTGGACTCAATCTTAGAGGTCTTTTCCAACTGAAATGATTCTATGGCATCTTCAGACTAATCCTTGTACATGTAACAATACCAACTGTTGTTTTAGTTTTGAAGGTTATTATTCAAAACTTTTTTTAATCTACCTCTTAAAAAATTAGCTCTTCTCTTATGCTAACGTGCACGAAGATGTTAGAAACTGAAAATCTCAGGAAAAGACAGGCTATCATCCTCAAATGATTAAAAAGCATCATTATTTAACTTTTTGCGAAAAGATCTTGATTTCATTAGTATTTTAACTGTCATAAAGATTCTGCACTTCTCTAATCTAAGACAGGCAGAAAAAAGTTTGTCTGCTATTTCCTTCTCCTTACCTATTTCTGATTAATGTCATTCATCTTAAGTAATATAATTAATAATCAGTAACAGCTTCCATCAGTCCCACAAGCACTGCTGTATTATCCCAAAGAAATATTTCAACCACACCCACAAAAACAAATGTAAAGGTATATTGATATATTTATGGCATGCAAAAAAAATGAACTGCCAGCTACAGTGCACTTTGAGAAAAATCAATACAAACCAGTTAGGCTGCTGTTCTGGCACAAGATATGGCATAAGTGACTTCCCATTCTGTTTGCAGAACAGATTTCCCCCTACCAGAAACTGAGCTGGGCAAGAAGTCGAAACCTACATGTTTGCAATTCAACCGAAATACTTTAAGTTACTAATAACTGCAAAGGACTAACATCAAGGTTTCTCATCATTCATGTCAAATAGAAGACTACATTTTATTCAAGAAGTTTAACTACAGAGAACTTATACAAGTTCAATTTCACAAGGAATTGTAACTGTAAGGAATTCCTGACTTTTCCAGCAGAAATTGATATATGAAACAGAATTAATTCCTTCTATTCCACAAACACAATTACAGGAAAGACTGCTTTTTAGTCCCAGTTTTCCCACCTGTATAACAGGAATGGCTTTTTCCTGTCAGGAAGTACTTTGAACCTAAATCGGTAACATCCCTGAACTGCAGGATTAATTCCTGAAAGGCAATGCAAAGCATATTCAATTGTTATCTTGTCATTACAGGATCAACTCTACTATGCCCAAAACTTACAGTGAATTTTGCCCTTTCTTCCATCACCTCATAGCCCAGAATAGTAGGTGTGGATGGTCGATCTTCCCAGCTCCTGGAATCTTCATTCTGCTCTATTTCTTCTACAGGCTGAGTACAGTACTCTATAGATGTATCCAGACCTGTAAATTTAGTCCTAACAAGTGGACTGCTACATGCAGATGATGTGGAACCAATCTGGTCAGTCACGCTCATCTTTTTAAAATTATCAACTGCAGAGTCCTCCAGCTGTCCTTTTGAGGAGCTTGAACTCGTTGAGATGCTCCCAAAGGAAGAACTTCTTTGGTTTCTGTTTGTAAAGCTGGATGATGAACTTCCAATAGGAATAGGAACAGGAACATACGGTGTTGCCATCCTTCATGAAAAAAAAGCCCTCAGTTTTTGGTCCAGGAATTTAAGCTTCATTGGCTGTACAAACCATGTTTCCTCTTGTTTTCTGGAACAGTACCTACAATTAAGGACAGAAAGTATTGCTGTCATTTCTAAGTCAAAGTAACACTAAGAGCTTTGAAAAAAAAAAAAGTCTGTATTAGCTGTGAAATGGTACATGGCAGTATTGATGGTAAAACATTTTCACCAAGAATTTGGCTTAATACAAAATGGTGCTTTTAGGCTGTAACTCAACCATTTAACAGACAGCTTTACAAGAGCTCTGTCTTGCACAGCTATTAAAATTAAAATGGCAAAGAGGTAAAGCAAGATTACGAAAGAGAAAAATCCTTTTGTCCTTTAACACTTCAGCGTTATTTGGTTTTATCCAAAGAGTCAGCAATTTTTTGGCACGTAATGAGTAGTTTCAGTGACTTTTTCAACCAAACAGTACAAAAGGTTTTTCAACCAAACAGTACAAAAGGTTTTCTCAGAATTGGTTCTATAAGACATCCACAGCAGACTATGCAAGCCAAACACACAGGCAACAATATACATGACATGAACCAAAAGACATGACAGTAAACAACTTAGGTGAAAACATATTTGCATATTACACATTCACTGAAGCATAATGGATCTGTTTTCAATGCAAAATATTTTTTCAAAACAACTCTGTTGTATATAATGTTGCAAACATTTGTCACAATGTTAAATGGGCACATTTTCTACAGTCTGAATTGGAGCAATTAAGTTTTACAAGCATGCACATCAAAAGCAGGGCTGTTACAGCAGGTAGTTTTTCATTTCAAAAGATTAAAATGAAAAAAAAAAAAGTAGTGCACAGAAAAAAGATAAATGAACTATTTAGTATTTTTTTCTTCAACAAAACCATTTCAAACAAGTCTTTTGTGTGCATGTGTACACATTTCTGGAAAAAAAGCAAAACAAAATTAAGACAGCAGTATCAAACTGCCAAAAAAGCACCATCTCATTTTAACAAAGTACCAAAGCAAAGCTCTTATAAGATGCAAATTAAATGCCACCTCTTTCGATTAACAGGATTTGAGCCATGATCCATTTCAGGAATAAACCAATCAACCAGGAGGCTGCAGGAAGCTGTGAAATAGGAAACCACCAACCTGATTCACATCAGACAATCAATCATTTACTGCAGCAAAACCAAACGAGATTTCTAATTGTGAGTGTTGATACTTGCACTGCGTCAGTGTGTGAAATGACGCTTCCCCTCTCTTGCTCTACTTTAATCCTAGAGCACAGGAATAAAGAAATAAATTTTACATGAACCAGCACGAGGAAGACTGAAAAATTCTCTTGAATAATAAATTCCTTGAGTGAAGGAAAAAACAAACTTAGTCATCTTTTCAGCTAGATCAGGAAGTCTTCATACACTCTCTGTCAGAAAGTTCAGTTAACTTGACCAGGAGAACAATTTCAAACTGGCAGTAATTTCTTGGAAGCATCTCTGCTTCACTGTGGAATGAGGCTGGACACCCAGCAGCATCTGAGGGAGCTGAAATACCAGCATCATAAACCCCTGCTGACTCACTCAGCTGGTCAGGGATGGGATTTGAAGTATCTAGCAGCTTCTCTTGCAGCACAGTCAGACTGTGTGAGTGAAGCCACATGCCAGATATCTGACCTGCTTCAGCCTCACTTGGCATGAGAGAAGCAAGTCACACCTGTCTCCAAGATAAGATGTTCTCCTGGGGCGACACCAGATCGAAATTCCCTTTTTTCACCCATATTTCAGTAAGAAAATCTATTTTCTGCCTTGAACAAAAAGTTCTATAATAATTTTTCTTTAATGCAAGGCATGAAGCATTGTCCAATAAATTTTCTCTAGCAATATTCTCTGAACAAATAAACACCTAAATGAAACACTAAAAAAGAAAACTCCTTTTTCACTTGCCACTTCAGTGACTCTTCCATGTTACCAGAATGAGGAATTGAGAGAATGCCTTTAAACAATGCCCCACCCAGCTAGGTTCTTGGGAGGTGTAGGATTATATTCCTGTAAAAGGAAGAACCTGAGTCCAGACTGCAAAAAATCAAACTATCTATATATAAAAAGTGATTATCCTCTGTTGCGTGACTGTGAACCTGGAGTGGAAAATAAACCCATATCTCAGGGACTATTTGTTGAAGCTAACCTAGGAGTTTGTATAATTTTAAGACGCAAAAAAAGCTTGTGCTTTTCATTACTTTATGAAAAGAACCAAGCCTAAAACCCCACAATAACATTTTCACCAGTGAAAATACTTGTGAACAGTCTTTCCTAGAAGAACTTCTTCCTTTGAAGTGAAATGCCAGTCAAGAACTTACTATTTTGAGCTTGTTTACTTAATCTACATTGCTCTTAACTGCACACGAATTTCTGAGCAGCTGCACCAATTTGGCAAGCAAGTGAGCTCAACACAGACCACCCTGAGGATAAAGCCCTGGGTGTTGAGAGGCCAACACCTGCACTGTATGTACTTCAGCAGCTTTCACTTCAGACCAGCTCTAATTCGGTACCACTGCCTGGATACTTATGAGCAGCTGGACTATACTAAACCTGCTCCCAGGGTACATTTTCTGGTTTAGTTTCTTTTGTACTCTGCAAGGCCACCCCAAATTGTGAGTCAAAGACTATTAAACGTGATGATGACACTGTTTTCTTCTGACGGACATTCTTGACTCAATCTGACACAGTAAATATGACCACAGACAAATAAAAGCAGCTGATACTACCTGTGTCACACACAGATTCCTCTAACTTTGAAGAGTAACAGCAAAGTAGTCCCTGAGTTAACAGAAATGTGAGGTCAAGTGAGCAAATGGCACATGGCTTCACTTAACTTGACTATTTTTTTTTTAATTGAAAGAAATATAAAAAAATATTATATTACCAGACTGACAAACACATATATATTCCTAAATACATATGTAATCCATCTTCAACTGTAGAAGTATCACAATTTCCTAGTATGTAAAATATTTTTATGCTTTGAATTATAACAGGGTTCAAAAATCACATCAATCTGCACTTTATGAAGGCTACTGAATATTAGAAAAAAATTCAATGCTCGAGCAAGGGTCACAGCCCTAGGAATCCAGCCTTTTCTATGAATACAGTTTACTGCCAATTCATGCAATAAAAGGAACTGAGAACAATTTCGTTTAAAAAAAATCCTTTTAGACAAACTATATTGCTCCCTACTTACCTCGGTGCAGTAAGGAGGGTTTGTATGCCCAGTTTGCTCCTACCCCAGCTGCACAGAACCAGAAGAATCATTGCATAACTTTAAGAGCTCATGACACCTATGAGATACGCCAAAGATGCACTTTCTTGTATAGCTATTTACTTGACTTTCGGCGAGAAATTTGCTTCCTGCTCGGAACCTGTATTTTGTTTAGTTTGATTCCCAGCTGTGAGTTAAGAACGAAAAGAGAAGGAAGCGAACATTTGCTGGAAGCGCTGAACTGCAAGATCTGAAACAGGATAGGACAGTCCCGGGAATCCGGCTGTCACATGCTACAAGAGCAGCATGACACCAACTTATCCTGTGTTTACAGCAGCCACCTCCCTTTCTGCGGGTGAAGCAAATAGGCTGTAATAAAACCACTTAAAAAGGGTTTGCCTGCAGCTTGCAGCTATCGCAGTTCCAAACCTTTTTAAGCTAATGGCTTGTATATTCAGTGAGAAACACGTAAGCCACACGATTCAAGGATAGTAGGTTAGAAACAAAACAATCCGTACTTAACAGTTGTAATTGGATTTAGAAGACTTTTAGCTATTCAATACTATTTGTGATCTGGTTACATATACTGTGCCTCTGCTTGGACAACGCAGACAAGCTGATCTCTGTCGTTTAGGGTTAAAGTGCTACTGAGCAATGTCAGCTGAAGAACAAGTAAAATATATAAAGAAACAACTTCCAGAATTAGCTTTCATGATTTTTTAAATAATCATTTTGTGCCGAGTTCAGCCAAGTTACCTAACAAAATTTTTTACTTGCTTATGAACTCAAAAAGGGGGGGGGGGGGAGGGCTATTTATACCACCACACACACACACACAGGAGTAATTCCTGCCCCAAAGAGTCTCTCATGGAACTAGAAACAACTGCAGGTACCTTGTTTCCAAGACTCGCGCATCAAGGAGCGCTACTTCTGACTACGAGCTGACGGTTCCGAAACCAAGGAGAACCAAACCAGCCCGGCCGGCACCGCTGGGGCAGCGCCCGGCCCGGCCCCGCCGCCGAGGGGCCGCGCTCGGGGAGCGCCGCCGCCGCTTTACGTAACTCCAGGGGAGGCCCCGAGCCCGTGACACCGGCGGAGCCCGGGGAACCCTCCCGGTCCCTCCGCACGGCTGCGGGAACCGGCCGAGGAAACACCTGGAGGCGCGGCGAGGCCCCGCCCCGGGGAGCGGGGGATTCCGTACCCGCCGTCCCGCCCGAGCGGGACCAGACCCCCCGGTGCCACCGCCCGCGGCCGCTTCCCCACAGGTGCGCGGGAGCTACGACAGCTGCGCGGAGGCGGTGGGGGCCGCCCTCGTCCGGCGCGGGACGGGCAGCGGCGAGGCTCCACTCCCCGGCCTTCACTGCGCAGGCTGCACGCTGCCTCGCTCTCTCCCTGTCTGTCTCCCCGGTTCCCGGTGCTGCCGCCGCCGGTGTCGGCCAGCACAGCGGCCCCGCTCACCTGCTCCCGCCGCGCGCGCCCCGCTCCGCCGCGCCACCGCCGGGCCCGCCCCGCACGGGGGGGCGGAGCAGGGGGCGGGGCCTGCCGAGAGCGGCGGGAGGGGCGGTGCCACGCAGAGACTACAAAGACCGGCGTGCCCCGCCCGCTAAGGCGAGCTTTGCTTTCCGGTGCGTGGGGTGTGGTGCATTTTGGGGCTTGTAGTTCCGCGGTGTAGTTCCGCGGTGTAGTTCCGCGGAGTGGGGTTGTCTCCTGAGGGTGGCTGTGCCTCGGCACGGAAAGGGAAGGCGGGGGAGGGTTGGTATCTCCTTATTCCTGATTCCTGGGCACAGGAAAGCCCCCGGCCTCTGCCCAGTGCGGGTTCCTAATGTGGTTTCACCTAGCCCTGCCATAAAGCCCCGTTGTACCACGACTTGCCTGCGCAGGGCAACACAACGGGAGTGGTTGTGGATCGCCGTGCGAAATTCCACAGATCAAAGTAATCTGGGAATTTCCTGGATGATGCGGGGTGGAAAGCACTTGTTCTTAAATAGCGGTGGGAATAAATCAGTAACTCGCTGTACATAGTGACTTAGAGTACATAAACAACAGCGTGACACTCTGGAGAAAATGACCACGGCATAATTTTTGTTCAAAAGTACACTTTCTTCATGCATTTTACAGCCGTTATGTATAATTTAAAAACGCTATATCCGGTCCCCGAGGTCTCTGCCATGTTCACGGCTCTGGAAAATGCTGCACCTTTTTTTTGGTGCTTTTTTTTTCTTTTTTCTTTTTTTTTTTTTTCTTTTTCTGCACAGCTCGTCTGCTTATTTTTCGTAAGCTCGACACCTTTTGCAGGGCACGGGCACACAACAGCGTAGTAAAACTTCGCTGTACGGTGATCCGGTCTGTGGCTGCAAACACTACAGCCCTGTGGCACTGCCCATGTCAGTAAATACTGCCCTGGGGGCTAATGTTAACACCGCAGTGTCATTCTTTCGTTGGGATTATATTCTTTGGGTGTTAGGGATTTTTTTTTTTTTTTTTTTTCTTTGGGTGTTAGGGATTTTTATTTTTTTTTTTTTCTGTGCTTAGTGTGGTTTTTTTGGTTGTTTTTTTCCTTCTCTGTCATATCGTTTCAGCACCATGTTGGACTGTCTGGAATTAATTTTGAACTTAGTGGTTTTTTCTGGATACTAGTCTTTCAAGAAATAGTCTCAGATTTGGCAGGGTAGCTCGTATTCATTGTGAGTAGAATTAATACATGCAAAAAGCATTTGTGAATGACTACTTCAGAAGCCATGCAATGGAACTTTTTTGGATCCAATTCTATTTTAAATATGCGGTACTGGGAAGAGACATTGTACTAGATTTTAAAATGCCATATTAAATCTGAGGAAATTGATTAAATTACATTTTGAAAATTGCACTCCCAAACCAGATATGCTGAGTATATGATTATTATGAACTTTAAACTTTGTCTTACTCAGGATGCAAATATTCCTTAACATAGAGCAGCAGAAAAGAAAAAAAAAGGTAGAAACAAGAGAATTATAATTTCCATTTTTTCAGAACACTTTTTTTTAATAGTAGTTGATCATGTATCATTATTGCAATAATTTAGTTGCATAGTCTATGTTTGAATTTATTTAACTCTAAATAGTTACTTATAAAGTTTTCTAGCTTCATGAAACTTCTTTTTTTTTTTTTTTAAAAAAAAAGGTTTTTTCCACATCTAGAATAATTTTATAGTTAAAAATGCACACTTTTCAGCTTGCTATTCTGCTTTCTTAACTGTTTGCGCCATTATTTTGTTGCAGAGGCTAACACAAAATTTTTGCCAGCCCCCAGGTGACAGTGAGGTCAGTTTTCATAATGGCACTGTAGATTGAACAAAAGTCCTATCGCGTGCCCTTTGAAGAGAACAAGATCTGTTTGTCACAGTGAGCAGGTATAGGAAAAAGGCGTGAGGCTGAACGTCTTCGGTCATTTGGACATTCCAAGGAAGGCAGTGGCATTTTTGGCTGCTTAGGAATGTGGGCTCATTGCATTCACGTCACAAGGTTCCATCCGCCCGCGAAATCACCAGGAATGCCTCACTGACGGGGAGAAGCTATGCAGGGTTAAGGTGAATTAATATCGGGTCTGTGCTCTTCCTGGCTTCCTCTGTGTAGCAGTTATTCCCTGTCCTCGGTCTGTGGCAATCCGCTTTTGAGAAGGAGAGGCTTTGCTTCAGCTGCTTGTGTAAGCACAAAGGGCTGTGAGAGACTCGCATCCCGGGCGAGACGAGCCACCCTGTGGCAATACCCTGCAATTTGCCTTTATTGAGGCGAAAGGACGACAAGACTAGATGCTGAATGTGTAAAACAGTGGAAAGTATTTGCTGGCTTTTTTTTTTTTTTTTTTTTTTCCGTGTATTGGTACTAGATGTCACTTGTGCTCTGCCTCTATTTGCTAGTTATTTAGTTTTCCAGAGGATTGGTATATTTATTATAGGCCTGATCAAAATCTGTGCAGCCACTGTAGTCCTGTATGCCAAAATAATGATTTTTACTAATGCTAGCTGGCTCGCTAGCTTAATTTAACCTTGTTTAGGGGCTAGGGCTTGCAGAATCAGGAAAGCCTATTAATGTAAGAGAACTTTATGTAACCTCTGTGAACTTCCCAGCACTTTCTCTGCTGGGAAGAAGAATGCTGGAAATGCTAATTGTATAACACTGGTGGTTCAGCAATGCCACCTTCTGTTGTAAAAGAATAAAGCCCAAGAAAATAATCCTGTAGATGAGAATGCTGGGATAATCTTATTGAATTAAATGCAACTTCTTTTGTTCTAGTTGAGTCATAATGTGATATGTTTTCAAAGTCTCACCTGCCCCCATGATCCTGTGAAACACTGAGGGTAGACTTTCAATCAGGTTATGGGATTTAGGTACTCAAATCTAATTGCATTTCAATTGGATGTAGGCGCTTAAATTCCATTGCAGTTTAGAATGCCTTCATTAAATCCCATTATATTCCAATGGGATTTGGACCTTTCTCTCTCAGAATACTATGAAGTCTATACTATGAAGTAGAATATTTGTTTTGTGACAAAGCAGCCGCTTTTCTGTCTCAGCTGCAGAGCCTTCACTGTTAGAAGTGATGGAGCTTCTTTTAAAGGCAATCCTTTAATTCCTTCCTAATTCTAAAAACTGTACCACTTTAGAAAGGTACAGCTAAATATTTTGAAAGTAGACTTAAGCATTGAAAGTAGAAATTTTGTACTGGCAAGAATTTCATGTGGGCATCCAGATCCTAAATTGTTTTCCTTGTAATACTTTCAGCAGTTGCCCTGTCATTCTAATGTCTCTACTTCAGAGGGGGTGTATCAGTGTGTGTGGATGTTGTATTTTAATACTTCCTGTGCCTGTGTGATGTCAGCACATGTTCAGAAGAACCTTGGGTTTTGGAGCTAAAAAATCATGACCTTTTTCACATATCCTTTGAGAGCTCCAGACCTTGGAGGACTTGGGTAGAGGTAAGATATAGGATTTAGATTCCACTGTGGGCTGGTTCTTTGTAGGTGTGGTGTGACTCTCTGTGATTCACTGCTCTGTGCCTGACTGTGTTTAAGTTTCCTTTGAAATCATTGTGGGGCACCTTGCCTGTTCAGTGTAGGTTCCTGGAAGCCTGCAGTCCTTGTTCAGAGTTTAAAGTAGCATGCTGAGGACTAGGCTTTCCCAAAGGCTGTGGGCATACAGCTAGAGAGCAGAACTGTGAGCACTGCTCAGCTTGTCACAACTGACAAGGATGTGTTAGCCATAGTAGGCCTCAATCCTTGTCAAGAGTAAGAGGGATTTTGAAGAAGGAATGTAAGAGATAAGAGAGTGCTTGGTACGAGGTGCTTAGTATGCAGTTTTGTGGGGAATCACACGAAGCACTGTAGGTACCTGGTCAGCTTAAAGTGAGGCATTGATTAAGCAGTGTTACTGAGTTACAATTGACCAATAGAGCCTTGTTACTTGAATACTATTGGTATGCTATTTTTAGCAATAACTGAAAAAGTATATAAACTCTGCTTTGTGTATCAAACAGCTTCATGGCTTCATGCAAGCAAATCATGAAGACCCCATCTCTTCACTACAACTGCTGTCAAACAGTGCCCACCGTGTCTGCCCAGCTGGCAGCCAGACAGCCGATCCTGGAGAACAAAACTGCTGAGAGAAAGCGGGACACGATGGACAGCGATGACTA